AAATCCTCTTGCACCAATGCTTGGATTATTTTGCATCGTACACCCAGTCCAAGTCTCAAATGTAACAATTTGCGTGCAAAATTGAGCGAGCACATGTAGGATTATGTATTGGGCTATTGCAAACAAATTTACCATCATTAGATTAGCTTATTCTGAAACCGGTTTTTCAATCTTACCTAGCTAGGTAGTTTGGTGCAAGAGGCCTCAGTATAGGTTTTACAATGTGCATCCTTCTCTTTTTGCCATGCTGCTTAACTCCATATCCGGAAGCATATCCCGCGAGTTGCTGGGGGGGGCGTTAAACGCCCCACTTTTTTCGCCGGGCCATAGCAAAAAACGGCGCGCCGCAGGCGCGCCAAATTCTGGGTACCTGTAGGGAATTGATTGAAGTTTATTGTGACAAAGTTTCAAAAAAATCGGTCGGAAAATTTTTGAGATATCGAGGTTTTAGTGACGTCATGATTTCTGAGTTTTCGACCAAAAACGGCATATGTTCAAAAAATCATATGAAATCACAGAATAGACATACAGACATGCCGTAAACGCCATTAGACTGCCAATACCATGAACAATGAAATGGCTATCTTCGATTATTGATTATCGTTCCGCATTTTCCAAAATCTTGCACTGAATCTTGGCAATTTCTCGTGATTACTTCACGACCATGATACATGCATTACTTAAATTGAACTTTTTTAGCCAAACACGTACACATATGATAAAATGAATGTCACCATCGTGTTCTACGCCCCAAATTACCCATAAAACATGTGTCACAGGCTGCGAATATCAGTTTTTATTTTCGGGGATATGTGCCTGCCCGGTTGACCTGACCTTGAAACTGACCTATGCTTGACTGACCCCTGCATGGAGCTGACACTCTTGTAGGCCTTATATGATGGATTGTGCACCGTTTTGACAGAGTTTATGACGAGAGGCGCCCATTGCGAAGTCCTGAAGTCCATGCTACTGAAAGCCCGATTTCAGGTGTTTGACCTGACCTTGACCTGACCTGTGACCTCAAAATTCAACTTTAAAGTACTCATCTGAAGCGTCTCGTCGCGTTCTTTCGTTTGCCGCCTCGTTTGTTTCGCTGCGCCTATTGGTTCTGGAGTTATCGGCTGGGGGCGTTTAACGCCCCCCCCCCCCCCCAGCAAACGGTGGGTGGCGAAATACCCCAGCAACTGCCGGGTTATGGTTATGCTTCATTTTTCTTTGATTTGATTCCAGTTTGTTTTAGTTGAGTCATCATCTCAATAAATTCGAAATTCGTGGCTGAGCGATCAAATATGCCAACAAATACTTAACAAAAAGGAAACAAAAAGAATACCATGGCTGCAAAGAATAACTGCAAACTATTGAGGAGTACATAATTTCGCTGTTTATTTCATAGCATGAAAAAATGTGATGTGTTCCTCACTGCTTTTTTAATGATATCGTGTACTCATGTTCTGGACACCCGAGCTATTCAAAATATTTACTGGCGTTGTGGACGTAAACGAAAAAATTCTAGAAAATTCCGATGCACGTGAAGGATATTTCTGCCAGAGCGCCTAGAGCATGTTGTGCCGCATAGCAGAGAAGGTCCAATACAGCCAATACATACGGCTGTATGTACAGCCAGCCAATGCAGATGGCCCTGCGGCACAGCGCCCGTAGCATGCTGTACCGTAGAGCATAGGTTACGAATCAGCCGACAGATGGCTCTGCGATATAGCGCCTGTAGTATGCTGTGCCGCATGACACAATAGGCTACAATTCAGCCGATAGATGGCCCTAGGCGGTAGAGCGCCTGTAGCATGCTGTGCCGCAAGACACGGCAGGTTACTATTCAGCCGATAGGTGGCTCTGCGGTAGAGCGCCTGTAGCATGCTGTGCCGCATGGCACACTATGTTACTATTCAGCCGATAGGTGGCTCTGCGGTAGAGCGCCTGCGCGCTACGAGCATGCTGTGCCGCAGAGCATAGCAGGTTGCGAATCAGCCGATAGATGGCTCTGCGGTAGAGCGCCTGGAGCATGCTGCGCCGCAAGGCTTGACTTCACTGCACAGTGCACGGAGCAGCTCGGATGCCGTATTCGATGTTCGTATTTGTATATTTGGGCATGCTCCGGCAGTAGCGGCGGAACACCTTCAATTAAGGAGGGGGGGGGGGGCACTGCCGACTTTTGGTCCCATTCTTTCCATGCAACGCCCATAGGGCTAGTGTTGAAATATCAAAATCAAAGGGGGGCACGGTGCCTCGGTGCCCTCCCCGTTCCGCCGCCTATGGTGCAACGGAACTAACGGTGTAGGTTTCGTCATCAGCCCAGTCGGCTGGTGATATGATTGCAGGTAAGGCGAGTATTTGGCTGTTGTACACGACACGAAGACGAGCCTTGTCGACCGGCCCCTTCCTTCTCGCACCCTTTCCCCACCTGCCGTTGCCCGGCCATTCCCCATCGCTCGCCGTCGCCGCCGCGTCGTCGGCACCCGGTAATGCGATCCCGGGGCCGGCCGCGTCGCGGCGAAGATTTCCCACCGACACAGCCATTAGCCGTGACAGCGACATCGACTGGACGACAGAGAGACGGCGCAGCGCGCAGCACTGAGCACGGACACGGAACTGGGAGATGGACGGTACGGAGAGGCAGAGCCGACTACGGAGCAGGGAGTAGGTACGGATTACGGACTGCGAACTACGGAGAGACAGCGCGGTACGGACACGGATTACGGAACTGCAGGACACGGAACGCCGGAACGGTACGAGTATTCGACTACAGAGCGCGGAGAGACGGCGCAGCACGAGCACAGAACTGGGGCATGGTCGGACAGTACGGAGAGCCGTCTATGGAGTACAGAGATACGGCCTTCCATGCAAGGAACTCGCAGACGGGTCGGTACGAACTTATGAAGTACACAGTGGACGGCGCAGCACTGAACACGGTGACGGGTGACGGAACTTTTACACAGACGTTACGGAGTGCAGAAGTGGCAGACGGTGCAGCAAGAGCATGGAAGTTGGAACTAAGTAATCGAACGCCGAACCAGTGACAATTTTCTTTTTTGTATCCCGAACGTGAACCGTATGTAAATGACACTACCAATAAATGGCCGAAGTGTTAAGTTTGTCACCCGTCACTGAGATGAGCCAATTGACCTGTTCAAAATATAAATCTGATAGACCTACGCAAGCAATAAACACCAATCCTAACAACGCAAGCAATCCTCGGCACTCGGAGTGTAATCGCCACGCCGATTGTGGATTGCTCTTGATCGTCAATACAATACAATACATACATACATACATACATACCAACTCCAGTTTGCTAAAGAGAGGACCAGTGACACTTGGCAGGTATAACATAGCAGAGGCGTTTCGCGTACCGCGCAGCTCTGGAAATGAACAGACTTCCATACGACTTCGAGAATATGTCAGTCGGGAAGTTTAAGAGACAGCTGCAGCGGCGGCTCCTCTCTCAGGTCACTTGAAGCTGATTTTAGTAGGAATAGGCGCGTATGTATGTGTTTTTGTTTTTTATTTGTATGTGTCGCGTTTTACCCTCGCTTTATGTACCTCATATGACTAAGAACTGTAAAAACCACATCCGTGTGGATAGTTCATGCCTTTACAAATACAAATACATACATGTCGAATGTCCAATGTGACGTTTCGGGGTCCGTTCCCTGTCACTCAGTTTCCCGAACAGAAGGAACTAAGAGCTGCTCCAGTCTGCCCCCGCGCCGGCCGGGGTGTGGGGTCTTTGTCCGCCCTCCGCCCGGCTAGCGGCCGACGCCTCGGCGAGGGGTAGTGTCGGTAACGACGCAAGTCGCCCCTCCCCTCCCCCGTCCGACGGAAAAAATGACCGAAACTGCTACTCGCCACTACAGGAGGCACGCACACCAGAGCGGCTTCTCAAACATATGCATGACTTGCTTGCGAAATATTTCTGCTCGAAGTTGAAGTTTACGCGACCTCCTCCCATCAAACAATGAGTCACCATGCTATGTCGCCGCCTCGCTCTGCTGTGAGTTGTTGTCATTTTCTCCTCCCCCCCCCCCCGCTGAGAGGACGCGGGCACCGATCATCGACCACTTGGTACGAGGACGTGTGAGATGGAGGTGCCCGGCGGGGGGCGGTGGCGGCGACACGGCCCCCGCCCCACCGCCGCCGCCACCGATGAATGATGGCTCGTCGGATGACGCCGTAACATCAGTCTCACCCACTGGAGCGAGTGGAGAGGGAGGGCGGGGGGGGGGGGAGTAGAGGGGAGCCATTCAGGCGCATCCTCGTAAACCGCCGCACGGAAAAAACTACGCGAAGATTTCCGCCTGTCGTCAACAACGGTAGCAGGAGGCAGAACGACCGGCCAGTGATTATAAAGCGGCACGAGTAGCGTTGTGAAAGGCATAACTAGTTACATATTTGAAAGCTGAAAGGTCGTCACACATTTTTCACCTCAGGAGGCGATGATGCCCGGTGAATCGTTATGGTCCATGCTTATTGATGGGCGACAGTTTATTATGGGAGGAGCTACGCAAGGACACGACAGTGTGTGGCTGGTTAATCAAAGGACAAAGAGCCTATCAAGCACTACATGAAAATTGGAATGTCAGTGGAACCTAATTTTTATGATGTTCCAACCACATACGGTAAAATCGCACAGCTTTCAGGAAAATCACCAAACTGTCCGATATTCAGTTTGAATTTTCAATTATTAAAGAATGACGATACAGGTACGGTGGGAGTTTCAATGTTTCCCGTACCTTCACCCTGCGGCCTGCATTATCTCTCGCCAGCTAAACATCAGCGGCACATAATCACCTGTCACATACCTGTATGTCTAGCCAGAGCCGATAGGCTGGCGATATCAACCCAGCTACTGGATTGTCTTGCACCGTACTGCGATTAGTGACACACAACTCTAACCGCTAAACGTCTAAGCTCTGTGAACCCTACTAGTCCGCAGGCAGGCTAATCGAGTTTGTCTGGGCATCCCAAGATATATTAAAATAAGTAAATGCCAGGTATTGTACTGACTGTATTGTCGCGACATTACTGTCTTGAATATTGAACAATATTTGGAATCAGCAAGCAATCACAGCACGAGTAAGGCGAGGTGGTCCCATAGTTTTAACAAAGCACAACCAGCACAACCCTACACCAATAATGCCCGTTCACGCAAGTACACCAACATCGACTAGATGCGCAACAAGAGCGTCTCAACTCTCCACATAAACTCCCGTCGAAGTTGACTGTCGGTCGCTCTCCCCGCAGTCTCCACCATCCACCAGTCACCGTATCGAAATCGGCGGCGCCGTCGGCCAACTCTTGCTTGCAGCGTCGGGCCCGGCGGTCGCCGTTCCCCGAGGGAACGTGCCGCCGTCGGCACCGCTACCAGCCACAGATGAAGTCGGGACCGGGGACCGCGCCTCCGCTCGGCCCGCACGTCGGTTTGGCGGCGGCGACAGACGCAAAAACAGCGCCGCACCGCGCCGGCACGTGCGGCCAAGATCGACTGTCGCTCCGACGCACCGCGGCGGAAGATGGGCGCACTCGTCCGGCGCAGAGTACGGGTGGCATCACCACCAGCGGCAGCGGCAGCGGAAGCCCTCAGCGGTCTACAGGGAAACCCGATGGCCGCCCCGGAGGGTAGAAAGAGTCCGAGAGGGACAGAGGGAGCGCCCGATCTGGAGAGAGCGGGAGACGTAACCACGACCGTAGCTAATACTGACCTATCTGGCCGGCGGATTACGAGGTAATGATTACCCGCCCGGCCAGCCATCGCGCCATATCATCGTATTAACGCACACACAGATTACGCTGGCAGCCCAGCCGTAACAACCATCAAACAGCGTAGAAAAATAGATAAAACAGAAAAAGGCAACAAGCACAAAAGCTATTAAGAAAGGCGCGGCGAAGCAGGGAAAAGAACGCTAAAGAAACTAACTGGCCACACCGCATCTCACAATATAATTGGTCAGACCTTTGGCACAAAACGCGCAGACAACTTTTAACGTCGATCAATACCCGATTGACCCTAGTGTCCCTTCCTCCGTAAACAGTCACCACTGGACAATTCCTTTCTCACTATCCGTTTCTGGCTATGTAGGATCACTGCGATCCCGAGTCTCCAGTCTGCTCTCGGCCCGTAGAAGCCGACAGAGCCGGTATGACCTCACAGAAAACGAACCCCTCCTGCTGGTACACCTCTCGCATGGTCGCCTGCGGGCACAAACGGGGTCACGGTTAGTCACAAAGGTCAGTGACGGTTACAGGAACAGCAAATGCGGTAGCCGAGAGAAATTGGTCAGACGATACAAGAACGGCGTGACACCGTTTCTCCGGGATATTATCGTTGAAAAGTGTCATACATGTATACATGAGTAAATAGCTGATTAAATAACAGATAAAAAAATGCCACGATACTAAACACGAGCAGGATAAATAGCCAAAAGGAAAAATCAGCGCCATTTTTTTGCAGCTACCTATCACAAAGACCGTACAGACTATAGATGAATTCGGCCCAACCGATCCGCAAACCCACGCAGGTTTGTGGTCCCAGCAGTTTCGGTTTTAGCACGGTCCAGCCCACACATCTCCGGTGAGCGGCAGCAACTGTTATCGGCCGCGGACCAGCCGCCGCCGGCCGGCCGGCCGGTCAGCTCTATTTCCAGGCCGGTGTCCAGTGGCGCGGGCAGGTGTCGTTCCCTTCCCACGGCCGAGACAAATGGGACAGCTGCGCAGCGTGCGACCGCCGCCGCCGGACCCAGCAGCCACACCCAGCCGACCGGGACGTTGCCGACCGACGCAAACACGGTGGTTACAGATCGGTTGGTGACGGTATCAGTACGGCGACTGAGCAGTAATGTGCGGAATGGCACTGTCATACCGCACATTGAGAAGCGGACAGCCAGCTCTGCACAGTATCTGATGAAATCTTCTTCACTTACCGTGCTCTCGTAAAAAGCGTCACTTCTCATAACACTTACCAAGTCCTTGTCAACGGTACTTCCATGAACAAGACATATTTTTATTCTTTAACAACTTGCTCTTCAGGCAAGGCACCACTAGCGAGGTTCCCTCAGATGTCCTTCTAGCTCTTCCTCATCACGGGACGTTTCCCATCCATGGATGTCAGCGCCCGGCCCGTGGTTCTTTAACACTTACCAGGTGCTTGTGGTCGTGGCAGAGGCCCACCACGGCCCCTCCGCTGCCGGGGAACTTGACGGCCGCTCCATGTTGTTTGCCCAGCTCCACCATCCGCAGGTTGAGGTCACCCAGCGCCGCTGCCCCGTACAGCCTGAACGAAACATTGAACGGCAGTGTTAGTGAATACAGCTGGCGAGAGGAGAATGTGGTGAACGCATGAAAAAAAAAAACATCATCAGTAGTAACTATGTGGTGCTGTCAGTTGAATTCAAATAAGGGTTCAGTTGAATTCAGATAAGGGTAACAATAAACCTAGTCGACACTCGACAGACGATATGAAAAGCCGGCACAGCAGCCTATTCTATTATGGGAGTAACTAGCATGTAGTCAAGCAATAGGCGTGAGAGTTTCGATGGCCTACAGTCAGTCAACCTAGTTTACAACTTAGACAAAATCATATCATCGCTGTTACTTTGTCTTGCATTAGCACGCTACCTACGCTAACCATATTGGCGGGAACTGATTATCCTCTTGCGGGACGATCCTTCCTTACTGTTTTCGGAGCTCGAAGTTTTCGTTCATGAGCCTGGCCAGCGTCTCCCAGTCGGCAGCACAGATGGCGTCCCGGGCGGCGTCCGTCAGCTCCGCGAACCGAGCCATGCCCGCTATCACGTCATCGTCGCCTGAGGGGACGGCAGGAGATACGGTGAACCTATTAAATGCCTAATCACGCCATGATCACGTCAACGGCCGGCACCGTTGAAAAATATACAAATGAACCAGGATGCTATCCGCCAATCAGCAAGGATGCTCTAGTTGACTAATTTACAGACCCAAACAAAAACAGAACAAATGCAATGCTACAAAATGATGCATACATCAACGACCTCTCTTCACCCATCTCCCTCGTCTCTTTCCATCACTCTCTCCCTCACTCTCGTCCTGGTCCTCATTCTTCTCTCATCCCAACGCTTACCCGCACCGCGGACCGCTAGCTAACTCACCTCGTTTCCAGCGCAGACTGATGTCGCTGTGCATTTTGCCCGAGTCGCTTGGGTCGGCCAGGTATGCGAGGAACAGTGGCGGCAGGGGCCCGCCGGCGGTCAGGTACCGGTACTCGCCGTACCCGCGGCTCTCCATCAGCTCGCGGCTAAAGTCCATGTACACAAGGCCGCCGTACACCTGACGGGAGCGGGGGAAGGTGATTGGTGAGAACTGGGTGCCTGAGTTATAACTGAGAAATGTAGGACAGCGGTGGGCTGGACGGCACATAGTTGGGTGAAACACATACAAGATGGGGCTTGGTTTAACGTGACTAACGCTAAAGCGACATAAGAGGTCCATGATGCCTCATACTAACAGTATCATAGTCCAAAAACTACGCAATTAAAAACCAAAAGGGAGCACCCATTCAATCGCCGTTAAATCGTATTACCATATGCATAGTGTCCCATCTTTCCAATAATCCCTCGCCTATCCCTGCCCCCAGCAGACCCTCACCTGTACAACTCGGTCCTGCAGCCCGGCCTGGATGCCGAGCTCGGACCTCTCCACGTCCAGTACGAGCTGCGGCAGCCGGTGGCGCGGCACATCCGCCTCCGTCACGCCGTAAAAGTCCATCAGACAGCGCAGCGCGGCCGTCACGATGGCGCTGCTGCCGGCCAGACCGACCTGGCGAGGGATGTTGGTGTCGTAGCGCAGCGTGAAGTTGCGCCGGCCCAGAGCCGTCCTGCCGGGGGAGCGATACGGACCGGTCAGAGTTGGACCGAGGCTATTGCGTAAGCTGTTTAAAACCGAGTGTAACAAGGAACAAATTAGTCCAAATTAAGCATCCGCAAGCTTCACCGCCTAAAGCGATTGAAGAAACTACTCTAGTGGACAGAGATCTTTAAATAGGCACACAGAAAGATATAGGGTAGAACACCCTACAAAACGATCACAAAACGAACGTCTCATATGCGCCTAAGGAATGCGACCGAACCTGCCGGGCCGCAGCAACACCCACCCGTTCTCGGAGGCCACCTGGTAGAATCGTTTGCAGGTGGCCTGCAGCAGCCGCAGGCCGCCCAGGTAGCCCTCCTTCTGACTGGTGCCGTAAAGGTCGTGCAGCGAGCCGAACTCAGTCGGGTCGTACAGGGGGTGCGGCAGCAGACGCAGCGTGGCGGACTCTGAGGGGAAGGAGGGGGAGAGGGAATTGACAGTGTAACATTGTGAGTGTAAAACAGACAGAAGATAGATCGCAGTAACGCATGAAACGATATGGCGGACGGCAACCGCAGTGGGGCCCCTGGCCCTGAGTACGACTCCGTGCGATACTTATCTGCCATGAGTTGAAATACGGAGACAATGGATGTAAAGTAAGTAGTATTTGCTGCAATGTTACTCTTTTCATTGCATATTGCACTTTGAGAACAGGGTTGTCCTTACCTGATATGGTAACTTCGGCCCAGAAGTTCTCAATGGATAGCGCTATGGTTTTCCCGTGGAAACCGTCCGACGGATTTCCCATGAGCCCCACTCTGAAAAAGGAAAAAAGAATGTCTCGTTACATGACTGTTATAGCCAGCAGGCCTTCAACACTATACTGCACAATGCACATTGTCCTGACAGCCAAGCCAGTCATCAGATGGTACAACAGAACCCTTTTCCAAGCCAAATCCGACCGAAAGCTGTCCCCTTCCCCGTCCTCATCCCCTCTCTTGAATCACCTCAGTCCCGGCGGTTGTTTCCTACATGCACAATTCAACTCCCGTGACGCCATCCCGACATTAATCCTCTGTCGGGAAACACTCCCCCAGTGTTCCTCACCCCACCTGGCGCTGACTATACGTCGGACTACCTCCCACCCCCGTTTCCTCACCTGGCGTTGACCCTATGTCTGATTGCCGGTCTCCTCTCGGACAGATGCCTCTGGTGGAAGATGGCCAGCCACCGGGTGTAGTCGGCCAGCCCCACGTCCCCTATCAGCTGGAAGCCGGTGGCCAGCTTCATGGCGTACACAGTCTGCTGACGGTCGTTTATCAGCCATGAGAGATACCTGGGAACAAGGGGAGTAGGGTGGGCATTAGTCTGGACTCTGGAGCGGGGCTGGGCATGAGAGAAGCAGAGGTGAATATGGCACAGTGAATATGGCGGCCCATCCCCCCTCTGGCCGAGGTACTCCTGTGCAGTTGCTGTACCTGTACCGGGTACTTACCGTCCAAATGTGGGCGGTGGTCCATCTCCCCTCTGGCCGAGACACTCCTGACTGTACCTGTACCGGGTACTTACCGTCCAAATGTTGGCGGTGGTCCGTCCCCGCTTTGGCCGAGATACTCCTGCACTGTTCCCAGCGTGTCGTGCCGCAGACAGTAGAACACCACGCTGGCCAGCCGGGACGGAGTGTCCGTCCACAGCGGCTTCTCGAAAAACCGCTGGATCCTGCCGGCGGGGGGAATATCGCATCAGTCGTCGGCAAAATCGGCGAGCAAACGGACTCACTGCGACAATTTCAACCTCCTAATGTGGCAAAACGGACAATAGCGTGAACAAGGCCACCGTATCATCGCATCATATATTACGTTACGAGGATAATAAATAGCACAAATGACCGCTCCATCGCCATCGAAACCTCATGCCGACTGCAGACCCTTCCTCCCAGCACTACCAGAGCCAGCTCTCTGGTCCGCTTACCTGTTGGTATCAGGGCAGACCTGGACCAGGCCGCGCGTGCACCGCAGTCCTCCGGCGCCCGCCTCCTGGCCGTCCAGCTGGTAACACAGCGCCAGGTCGCCCGTCTCCCGCTTCAGACGGAAGTAGTTCAGCACCTGGGTCAGGTCGAATGTGTCGTCCTGTGTGAGCCAGATCACAGCGGTCATTCATTGTCAGTCACACAGGCAGATTTTCAGTTCTCAGTTCTGGTAAAACAATGAGCGGAAAATAGTACAGCTTCGCAAAAACAGTAAAGAAATTCGCGTAAGTACAACACTATATAAACACCAGCATCAAATTTTGACATTGCTTATATGCAGGGATGCGGAGCCGTGGAAATTTCAAACGGCTCCGGCTCCGGCTCCGGCTCCGGAGAAAAAAATCGGCTCCGGCTCCGGCTCCGGCTCCGGGTGAAATGTTATGGCGGCTCCGGCTCCGGCTCCGGCTCCGAGTAAAATGGTCCGGCTCCGGCGGCTCCGGCTCCGACTTAGTACATCCCCTATGCAATCAATTAAATACGGGTGGAAGAAAAATTGGATTGGTTATACGCGTTACCTACTCTTGCCATGACCGGCTCACCGCACTCCCCGCGCAAACGCACCTCGGAGAGCACTGGCAGAACAAAGGACTAGGAAGCGATGGCATTGGAAACGCAGTCGCCGCGAATCGGAGTTCACTGAACCATCGTAAGCTGACACCCATCTCGGCTGCATTGGGGGGGGTGGGGGTGAGGGGTGGGGGTGGGGGTGGGGGTGGGGGGTGGGTGGGAAGAGACGGCGCTGGGAGTCGCAGTCCACTGCACTGGCTTCAAAACAATGGCCGTCACCTGATGACCGGTCCTCATGTTCTGGGGATGCAGTAGACGTGAGGGGGGAGGAGCAGACAGGAAGCTGAATGCGTACTGTGGGATACTGGGGATATTCGGCTTTTCATTCAATTGATGGCCCATGACGTACTATTGGTCTCAAGATAAGGGCCCAGGCGACCTGTAGTTTTGATGCGGTGAATACCCTTACCCTCGCCACAACTCGGGCCGAGTGCACCCCTCCTCCCAGCCAGCGCCACCCCCACTCGCATTGTGGCGAGGGTGAGGGTATTCACCGCATCAAAACTACAGGTCGCCTGGGCACTTATATTGAGACCAATAGTACGATATGTTTTACTGCCTTGTACTGTCAAACCGAACTAGGTCAATTATTTTTTCCTCTTCAAAAAATAAAAAGGAGCCGGAGTCGCCCCCTTTTTTGGCGGCTCCGGCTCCGGCTCCGGCTCCGGGCTATATTGTTTCACGGCTCCGGCTCCGGCTCCGGCTCCGGGCAAAATATGCCGGCTCCGGCGGCTCCGGCTCCGACTCCGGCTCCGGCTCCGCATCCCTGCTTATATGCAATGAAAGTCAATTAAAGTATAACTGAATATAAAACAAAGGCAGCGAAATCAATAACTGCATTAGCTCCCGTCCCATGATCGGCAAGTTCTTTGCTTGACCACCGTCCAATTAACTGCAACCACAGGGAGTAACCACATCTCACATCACCACGAGAAGCCCCGATATCCCCGCCCGGTGTCCGTTGTGCCGACACATCTCCTCACCTGAAACATCATGTCTCCGGCGACCACCATGACGTCGCAGGGTCCGGCCGTCAGCCGTTTGGTGTCCAGCACCAGCTGCAGGTCGCAGAGCGCGCCGCGCTGTGTGGCCGACAGACTGGAGCCATTGTTGACGATATTGGCCACCGGGAAGTCGGCGCCCATCGCCCACCGCTCAAAGTGCTTGTACCTGAGGGGAAGATTTGAATGAGTCAGCCACACTGATGACTGAGCAGCTAATGGTGAACTGATATAGCGGATTCTGATGGCAAGAAATGTGTACCAATGACTGAAATAGACGAATAATTAGTGAGATAAAGTTTTTGGTGGTAAACGACAGCAAAGGGTAAAGGAACAACCCAGAGAGTTGTGTTAAATCCCAGTCAGCAGAAATATTACATGTCACATAACAAAGGGCAAAGGCAGCCAAAAGTAATTAAATTTGCATGCAATATGCATATTCTAGGTTAGCTTAGATCTAAAGAATATGTCTGGTTGTGTGCTTTGCAGGAGTGTTGACTCACTTGTCAGCATTGGTGACCAGGTAGACATCGCTGAACAGCTGGCGCCTGAAAATGAAGAAACTCACATAGAAATCCCTATGCACACTGAAATAACCTAACTGTCAATGCAATCAGCTACAACTCAGAAGCCTGTGTAACTGGTCACATAATTTATCTCTAATTTATTTTGTGCATGCAAAAAGTTTGTGTTTATGCAACTGAAACTCACAAGTCACTTTTACTACTATACAATGATAAAAATCAACAAATATTCAATGAACCTCTTAACTTTAATATCATTACTACACCTGATATCATTCATCACAGCCTCTGAAACTTAGCCCGACATTATGAAGCACAATGAACTCACGTTTTGATGGCATTCCACCAATAGTCAAGGATCCTTTTCCCACCAACTCCTGGCAGGAGTGCTTTCGGAACACCCTCAAGATGCCTGAACTGGTCAGATGTCTCCTCCTGTTGCCAGAATGGTAAGAACATTTAATATGAATAGGTCAATGCCAAACTGAACATGAAAATGGAGAACAAACATAATCATTATCACTTTACAGCTTTTTTAACACAATTTGAATCAAAACAGCAATACATCCTTGGATAAAACTAGCAGGTCAAAAGACAGCAGCCATCAGGTAGGTTAAGAAAGTTCCAGTACAGGGTGGACCAAAAAGGATGGAAACATTTTAAACTCGTATAAAACATGCAATATTGCATGCAGGTGACCGAAAATGATACCAAACGAGAGTACATTTTGTGGAAATTCATTATGACATCATGCTCAGCTGCTTTCTCTCGTTTTCAGTCTCTCACAGTAGATGTTCGAGGAGGCCACCTTTGCGAGACATGCACAGATCGGCCCGCCTGGCGGCTGACGCGATAGCCCGACGACACTTGTCCTCTGGTATGACTCGCACAGGCTTGGTGATCGCTCTCTTCAGGTCACTAAAGCTTACAGAACCTTCTATATAGACTTGACCGGTGACCCTTGAGATGACCCTACAGGAAAAAATCCATAGGGTCAGGTCGGTTGAGCAGAGAGGCCAGTTCCACTTCGGTTCGAGGGTGGGAGCGACGTGGCTGACCTACCAAGCGACGCTAAAGAAATTCTTGAAGTGAGATCAAGCGACGTATGGCAGTATCTTGGACCTCATGTGGCTCCAGCAGGGCGGTGCGTCTCCTCACATAGCAAAACAATGCTCAAGTGGATCGAGAACCACTCTGGTGACCGGCTGATATCCCGCGGTGCCAGTCGGAACTGGCCCGTCTGCTCACTTGACTTGACCCCTATGGATTTTTTTTCCTGTAGCGTCATCTCAAGGGCCAGGTCTACAAAGAAGGTCCAGCAAGCTTCTGTGGCCTGATCTGAAGAAAGCGATCATCAAGGCTGTACGAGTCATACCAGAAGACATGTGTCGTCGGGCTATCGCGTCAGCCGCCAGGCGGGCCGATCTGTGCATGTCTCGCAAAGGTGGCCTCCTCGAACATCTACTGTGAGAGACTGAAAACGAGAGAAAGCAGCTGAGCATGATTTCATTATGAATTTCCACAAAATGTACTCTCGTTTGGTATCATTTTCAGTCACCTGCATGCAATATTGCATGTTTTATACGAGTTTAAAATGTTTCCATCCTTTTTGGTCCACCCTGTAGGTACCTTAAATTGCTGAAACTCTCCCTACATAAATGATAAAAAGCAAAAAAAAAAGGCAGTTAACACTTACACTTCTGACTACAAACACCTGGCAATCTGTTCAGACTTCATAATTGCGAGAACTTACTCGTATGTCTGTTTCCAGTTTTGCAGCATGTCCTGCTGCCATCAGTATACAGATCATCTTGTTGGTTCAGTATTATAGAACACCAGATTACAGCATTAAGGTGTCAGTCCTGGAAAAAATAACAGCATTATTAATAGACATTTCATAATTATTGAACCTGTTAGTGTAACATATTTGCCATTTCACAATACATATCATAACCTGTCAAAACCCCTCAACCTTTCATGTTGATTTCCGCACGGTGACTATAAATACAGTGATCCCATCTGGATTTGGTCATGATGATCATTTTCTAGTACAGCGCACGTGCAGTTGTGGCGAGGGCCCCACCAGAAATTCTGGATCCAAGTGACTTTGGAGCCAATACAAAGTCTATGGGAAAGTGGTGCATTTTAATGTTTTTTCTTCTCACACCTAAATTTTTACGTTGTTCTCAAAGATACAACCTGATTCATGTGCAGAATTGACAGGCTTTAATATGGTATCAATTTTAGATTTTTATCAGACAATTTCAAAAATTACTGACCATTTAAACTACAAAAAGAGGTGATTGCGGCAGCAATATCATGTCAATGGGAAATTACGCTTTCTTGTGCATTTTCAATTAAACTGCTCTCGAAGCCAGTACCTACACTGGATGATTCATGCGTGGAATTTGCTGAACTTTTGTGATTTTGTCTTGTGTCACTGTTGATGTCTTAATGAAATCATTGAAATCATTAATCAAATTATTTCGTCCCAGCCGGTTTCCGGACAAGAACCAGATGAGCCAAAAATGGCGCGCTTGCTACAGATGCGATGCAGGACAAATCCTTAAATTCAACAGTATAACAAGAATCAATGAGCCTTGTCACAAATCAGAATGACTAGCAGGTACAAATTTATCTGTGAGACATGCTGCAACTTTTCTTTGCACATATTTCACTAAAAAACACGCACATATTATCCCATAACATACCAAACAAACAAATCGGTCATTACCGCTGCCATATTTGGACTATCGGATTGGCTACCAAATCCCTAAAAATGAGCGTGCTTTCCTTCATTACCGCGAATTCCCCTCTCACAAGCTGATCGGTTAGGATGTGCGTATATTTGGCGTCAAATTCGTATTCGCGTGGAAAAAAATGATAAAAACTATCAGCGGACCACTAGGAATCTCTTGCAAATTGGTCCACTGATACAATAAAATCTTCTGATTACGATGTTGATTATAAATAAGCGCGGCACGACCTACGAACGGAGTCATAAGAGGTCAAAGGTCACGCACCGTTGCCCATTATCAAAAATACATTGTATGCGGACCCCTAGGAATTTTTTGAAACTCATTTCTACTATATATTTTCATCTTCTGATCACAATGGTGTTAATATCTAGGCGCGGCACGCCCTACGAGCTGAGATATGACATTACCAAATTATGCGTGGTTGCCTTTTACAAAATAAAATTTATGTGCGGACCCCTAGGAATCTATTGAAATTTATCCCAGCGATAGATTAAAATCTCCTGATCACGATGGTGATAAAATCTAAGCGCGGCAAGCCTAAAAAACTGAGAAATCAAAGATCAAAAATAAGAATCAATTGATTGGCTTTATGACGCATGGCAGACCAAATTGGCGCAAACAATATTTCTGTGTGAAAATCGTGGTGTGGTGATATTGTGCTGGTTTTAATCGAATAATCGAAGGTCTATTTGCTCAAATAATCTGGTAATCACTCAAGATTAAGACTGATCGTCCCAAGATTAAAAGGATACTGGCTATTTTCACAGCGTTTCAATGTGCGAACTGCTGGATTGGGTGGTCATGGCAAGAAAAGTGCTCCTAATATGAATTGTTTTAATTTTCCATTTTGATAGGCATAAGGTTGCCAGAAGCTTTAGACTGTGAAATAAAGCACGTTTTACAAGATCCTGGATTGCATTGCTGCAGGAACATGGCTCTGGAGATGGGTTGGAACATGATGGAACTGTGCAGAACCCAATGCGAGAGATTTGCACATGTCTTGTGGTGTGGAATGTCTGCAAAAAGGTGCAGTCTTCTTAGGTTGGGAATGGTAACACAATCCCAAAGTTTCTTGTGCCTTAGTGATCAAACCATAAGCACATGTCTGATGATGTGCTGATGCTCACCTGTTAGACTCTCCTGTTTCATATCCTCCTTCCATCTGATCGAGAAGTAAGGAAACAGTGAATGACAGAGAGTTGCGCCAATTATTCCACAGCTAGATGTAAGTTGGATTCGCATGACAGAGTTGCAATAGTGAGTCTGCTATAAGGTAGTTGGTAGAAATGGCAAGTATTTACTCGAGACGCTGCTCATAGTCTGTCTGGATGCAATGTGTGCCTAGTTCAAGTTGCATGTCTTGCTTGTGCTTGTGCTTGTGTTCTACGAGACATCCTAGTGCAAGGCACCTGGTGGCACGCACTATCATTGATGATAGATTGTGGTTCAGAATGTTACGTTGACTCGTGACAACAGCAAGGACGATCTTCACACTTTGAGGTGCCGTACAAATGACTTCTGTGCAAAGGGTATCACTGTATAACCTCTTATAACTTCTGGTATTTCTGATAGCATTGCCCTAGCTTGAGTAGCTGTGTGTTTAAAGTGTCATTATGTATTTTGAAGGAAGATAAATTATGTTCTACGTACCTACCTCTCTTTTTATGACAAGGCTGAGGATGTGTTGAGAGCAGAAAACAACAATTGTCACTTGCCACTGCTGGTGTGGAGCACAGTCATGTGAGACACATGACTTACAGGCACTACAAAGCTATGCACTGCACCCAAGACACTTCTATGTGAGCACCTATGACACACAGCACATACTGGACAGCTGGGTTCAAGGTTACCACATCAGCTTACAGCTGGCTAAGGAACAGACCACTAATATCACTGACTTTTAATGGTCATGTCACCACAAGGATAATTAGTCTACATACAAAGCCTCTCCCAAGTCTGAGGCAAAAGGTGCTGAGAGGCCCCACACCATCTCAGTGTGCATCCCACAACACCTCTGAAGTCTGGTGAGGCCACCTTACATCGGTGAGATTTCGTGACCTGTCAGCGTGCCTCTTCTCTTGAGATGGTGGAGGGTCTGGTGATTTCACAGGTGAACCATCATCTCCAGAGGGGACAGGTGATTGCTGAGAGGACAGCAGAGGTCAGACAGGTGAGATCTTGTGAGGTCGCGGAATAGACCACCGTCTGCAGAGTGTCAGGACTCAGCATAATTCCCAGGCCAGGTCACGTGGGGTCACCAGACGGCCACAATCCCCAGGTGGGACAGGTGACTACTGGGAGGACAGCATGGGTGACAGGCCAGGTCACGTGGGTCTCCAGACGGGCCACCGTCACCAGAGACAACAGGTGACTACTGAGAGGTAATCAGGGGTCACAGGTCAGGTCACCAGACAGACCAGTCCCCTCTCGTGACGGTGGACGGTCTGGTGACATGACCTGTGACCCCTGCTGACACCTCAGTAGTCATACGTCCCCTCCGGTGACAGTGGTCTGTCTGGTGACCTGACCTGTGACCCCTGCTGACACCTCAGTAGTCATACGTCCCCTCCGGTGACAGTGGTCTGTCTGAGTGACCTGGCCTGTGACCCCTGCTGACACCTCAGTAGTCTCCGGTGACGGTGAATGGTCTGGTGATCTGGCCTGTGACCCCTGCTGACATCTCAGTAGTCACATGTCCCCTCCGGCGACAGTGGTCTGTCTGGTGACCTGGCCTGTGACCCCGGCTGACATCTCAGTAGTCAAACATCCCCTCCGGTGATGGTTGACGGTCTGTTTAACATGACCTATGACCCCTGCTGACACCTCAGTAGTCATACGTCCCCTCCGGTGACAGTGGTCTGTCTGGTGACCTGACCTGTGACCCTGCTGACACCTCAGTAGTCATACGTCCCCTCCGGTGACAGTGGTCTGTCTGGTGACCTGACCTGTGACCCCTGCTGACACCTCAGTAGTCATACGTCCCCTCCGGTGACAGTGGTCTGTCTGGTGACCTGACCTGTGACCCCTGCTGACATCTCAGTAGTCAAACATCCCCTCCGGTGACAGTTGACGGTGTGGTGACATGACCTATGACCCCTGCTGACACCTCAGTAGTCATACGTCCCCTCCGGTGAAGGTGGTCTGTCTGGTGACCTGACCTGTGACCCTGCTGACACCTCAGTAGGTAGTCATACACACACACACACACACACACACACACACACACACACACACAAAACGTTTATTAAGGAACAAAAGATACACGAGAAATAAAGCATGATCAATGAAACATATGGCACAATGTAGCAACATAAAAGTGATAGCAGAGTGGTGCAAAAGCGCAATCGCTTAACTCGAGGCACCACTCTGAAACAAAAATAAAACATGTGAAACAACCGCCGCCGCCGCTGACCAGTCGCTCATGAGCGGTAAATTTTGGTGTTCCATCAGCCGCTCAGTCCTCGGGATTGCAAATTTTGAAAACTGAATGAATTTATTTGTTACTACGAAAATCTATTTGTTTTTGTCAAAAACTTTTGAAAGGCGTAAGCCATTTCTCGACTGCCCTCGCCACTCAAGCGATCTCCGTGGATAAGAATGTTCAATTTTTGGTCGGGTGAGTAATTTGCAAAATTTTCTCTCAGTATACGAGAAGCGTTATCAAATAGTGTTTTCCTTTGGGCATCATAATTTCGACAGAATATTACGTAGTGGCGGACACCCCGGTGTCCGCCCCCTCCGGTGACAGTGGTCTGTCTGGTGACCTGGACTGTGACCCCTGCTGACATCTCAGTAGTCAAACATCCCCTCCGGTGACAGTGGTCTGTCTGGTGACATGACCTATGACCCCTGCTGACATCTCAGTAGTCATACGTCCCCTCCGGTGACAGTGGTCTGTCTGGTGACCTGACCTGTGACCCTGCTGACACCTCAGTAGTCTCCGGTGACGGTGGACGGTCTGGCGATCTGACCTGTGACCCATGATGACCTCGCAGTAGTCACACGTCCCCTCCGGTAACAGTGGTCTGTCTGGTGACCTGACCTGTGACCCTGCTGACACCTCAGTAGTCATACGTCCCCTCCGGTGACAGTGGTCGGTCTGGTGACCTGACCTGTGACCCCTGCTGACACCTCAGTAGTCACACGTCCCCTCCGGTGACAGTGGTCTGTCTGGTGACCTGACCTGTGACCCCTGATGACACCTCAGTAGTCATACGTCCCCTCCGGTGACAGTGGTCTGTCTGGTGACATGACCTGTGACCCATGATGACCTCGCAGTAGTCACACGTCCCCTCCGGTAACAGTGGTCTGTCTGGTAACATGACCTGTGACCCCTGCTGACATCTCAGTAGTCATACGTCCCCTCCGGTGACAGTGGTCTGTCTGGTGACCTGACCTGTGACCCTGCTGACACCTCAGTATTCATACGTCCCCTCCGGTGACAGTGGTCTGTCTGGTGACCTGGCCTGTGACCCCTGCTGACATCTCAGTAGTCATACGTCCCCTCCGGTGACAGTGGTCTGTCTGGTGACCTGACCTGTGACCCCTGCTGACATCTCAGTAGTCACACGTCCCCTCCGGTGACAGTGGTCTGTCTGGTGACCTGACCTGTGACCCTGCTGACACCTCAGTAGTCTCCGGTGACGGTGGACGGTCTGGCGATCTGACCTGTGACCCATGATGACCTCGCAGTAGTCACACGTCCCCTCCGGTAACAGTGGTCTGTCTGGTGACCTGACCTGTGACCCTGCTGACACCTCAGTAGTCATACGTCCCCTCCGGTGACAGTGGTCGGTCTGGTGACCTGACCTGTGACCCCTGCTGACACCTCAGTAGTCACACGTCCCCTCCGGTGACAGTGGTCTGTCTGGTGACCTGACCTGTGACCCCTGATGACACCTCAGTAGTCATACGTCCCCTCCGGTGACAGTGGTCTGTCTGGTGACATGACCTGTGACCCATGATGACCTCGCAGTAGTCACACGTCC